AATATATTATTGGTGCCTTAAGTCAACAGTATAAACAATTTTGATATGAAGTTTGATTTTTTTGATTAAAAAGAAGTTTTTCAAGCAAAAAATATAATTATTTAAAAATGTTTATATATTAAAAAAAAAAGAAAAAGAAAAAAATTTCAAAAAAGATTTGTAAAGAAGTAATTATTACAAGTCTTTTCTCATGTAATTAAAAAAAAAAACAAGACCTTCAAATTTGTTTTTCCTTGGTCAAAAGTTCTATTCCAATGCACCAATATATTTCTTTAATTTTTTTGAGATTCTTATAGTAAAGAAAGAGAAGATATAAATGACTTTTAAATATTAAAAAGTAAAAAAAAATATTTGTTTTTTTAATTTTGAAAAAAATTACTATAAAATTTTTTAGAAAAAAGTTTTTTTTTTGTAAATTATAGTTTTATTTAGATAAAAAATTTTAATTCTATATAATATAATTAGTTTATATTAATTATTTAAAGAGAATAAGCTATCTATAGTTTTTAATATATTTTCAATTTTGAAAAAAGAATAGTTTAATAAACAACTTTAAACTTGTTTTGCTAAATTTTTTAAAATTTGAAAGAAATAAAAAAGAATTTTATAAAAATTAAAATATTATTGTTTAATTGTTTTTTTTTTAAAAAAAAAATGATTTATATAAAATATATCTTTTTAAAAAAAGTATAGATTTTAATATACTTTTTTATTAAAAAATAAACCCAAATTTTTTTTTTATAATATATTTAAATTATATTATATATATAATAAATTTTAATAAAAATATCTTGATATAATATATAAATAAAAGTTTTGAACTAATATTAAAATAATATTAAAATAATATTAAAATAATATCTATAGTATTAATAATAAATTTAATACCTGAATTGTAATTTATTATATTAAACTTATTATAAATTCAATATTAACTTAATACTAAAATAGTATTATTAAAAATTCTATTATTAGAAATTCTATATATAAGTATATATATAAAGGTATATATATAATGATTATATTAAAAAAAATGAAAAGTTTTATTTAAATTATTTAATAATTAAAAAAAAAAAAATCAATTATTTATTAATAAATAAATAAAAATTTTTAACAAATAATATATGTATTTCTTTAGTAAATTATTATAAAAAAAGTTTTTATTTGTTTTTTTTTTCAAGTTATTAATTATAACCTTTATAGATTTAAAATTTCTTTAATAGACTATTTCTAAAATTTTTACTGTTCAATAACAATTCTTTGAATTACATATATATTTTGATTTTTAAAAGAATATATTCTGTTAATTAAAATTTTTTGAAAGAGAAAAACTTTTTAAAAAAACAATTTTTATAAAAGGTGTATATAAAAATGGTTAAATATTTAATATTGTTAATTTAACTATTAAATATTCAATTTTTTGTTTGTGAAATTAATAAAAAATAAAAAATTATCAAAATTTATATAATTGTGTATAAACATATATAAACACTTTATTTGTCAAATAATTTAATTAAAAACAAAATTACATTAATATAATCTCATTAAAATTGCAATATTAAAATAAATATTTGATCTTTATATAGATATCAAAAAAAATTTTTTTTCAAATAAATAAAGTGAAATCATGAAATGTGACAAAAGAATGTACAAAACAAAAGTGATCTTGCATTGAAACTTTTAACATAATAAGACCTGAAAATTGTAATGAAAAACTATGATCAAAATTGATTACATACAAATAAACCGGTTTACATGTATAGTATATCTGCGCACCGTTTAATGCACAGAGCATGATGAGCAAAATGGTGTAATGACGTTTCACAAAATTATTAATAAGTTGTTCACGTGATATCATGAATTATTTCTTTTCCGATTCTTGCGGTTTGGGAAGAAGGTTTTCTAGTTTAAATGCTTCGGGCCTTTCATCACGTCCGGGACCTATAGTTTTGAAGTTGAAGAGGAAAATTTACTCAATGCTTAACATGAGGACACAAGTTCAAAACAATTCACCTACCCGTTTGTTCCCATGGAGATGCCGCCCCTTCAAAATTTCTGAATGCTTGAGTTAATTCTAATGGTTCGGCAACGACACGTTTTTTCTCCTCGTCATATCTAACCTCAACAAAACCTGTCAACGGAAAATCTTTTCTAAGTGGATGTCCTTCGAACCCATAGTCCGTTAGGATTCTTCTTAAATCAGGATGATCGGTGAAAAACACGCCATACATATCGTACACTTCCCTCTCAAACCAATTTGCACCATTAAATAAGCTAACTATCGAGGGTACATGAGATACCTCATCGGCATATGTTTTGACACGAATTCTCGCATTATATCGAAGGCTCAACATGTTGTAAACTACCTCAAAACGTTTTGACCTTGAGGGATAATCTACTCCACAAATATCCTGAACCTGTTTAAATTGAGCTCCGGTGTGATCTCGGAGAAAGGTCATCACTGGAATTATTCCACTCGGAGCAACATATAGTGTTAGTTCATCCTTATAGACCGAGTATTGTTGTATAAATCTGGGTAGCATAGAAAGGAGGTGTTTTCCGTATTCGTGAAGTGATTCATTACTTGTGATTTTTTTAGGTGACGAGCCAGCCTCTTTAATGTTGTGACAAAAATTCATGAATTTCTTGTGCTCAAATTAAACCTTTGGTTGCCTTGTTTACCTACCCTGTTTCTGGATCGGGGTCGAATGAAACTTGGCATTGAAAGTTGAGCCATAAATTTTGTAAACGTTTGGAATCCGGAATGCTTAAAGTATTTACAACGCGACGTCAAGAGTTTCGAGATACTGGTAAGTATATAATTTTCGGCGGTTGAAAAAAGTCAGTTAACCTTGTCTTTATAAATAATACCTTTGGGGTTCAACGATCTACGCAGACCAGAAACTATTGAAGGCACCGTTGAAATCATCATTATGTGAAGGGCGATTTTTTTTTTTTTTTTGTTTACATAAAAGGTTCTAAACAATGTAGGTTATGTAACATACAACACGTGGCCGAACATTATGTAAAACGACGCCACACACGAATAGCTGTGGCACAGTATCATTGATTGAACTTCAGAGGGAAATCATATAATCAGAAAAATCAGAAAGATAGTCCATTATTAAATAATTCAGTATACAGTATATACAGTACATATCATCGTTTTCAATTTTTAAAAATTTTATTTCAACTTGCGTAGCGCATTTTTCAAAAATAACGAGTTTCAGTTTCATTACGTGATATCGGGGATTTTTCCTCCGATAGACAGGTACCTGAAAACAAGATCAGATGATTAATGAAAGATATAACCGACCAAATCCAATGTCTCTTTAAAAAACATCGATCATATGAGAGCATCTTTGCTGTCAACATGTATTTTGTTTGATTTTTCTTTCAGTGGATTGACAGATTGATGAGATAAATCATATCGATTAAAGAAAAAATCAGGAATTAATTTTACCTGGGTGTATATTATGTTCCTTACTTCTTCATTTCCTATATCTACCTAAACTTAGAAGGTTTCAATAAAAAAAAAAGAAAAAGAAAACTCGTTTTAATCGATCTCAATAGTATTTTTCCGAATTATTTACAAAATCATCAACTAGAATAATCAGTACTTCTTAGAGGAGACGTTAGATTTTTCATTCGATTATATCTCAAAAAAGAGTAGTTCATCACATTATGTTTGTCCTGTTGTTATCAACTTGAAAATAATTTTTTCCTTACCTGGGCATAAAACTTTCACCACAAGAAACTATTCTCTAATGAATTGAACTAAATTTCTCCTTTTTTTCACGATGACAAGGGAACATCATACTTCAAGAAAAAAAAAGAGATTCAGATTCCATTTATCCGTTCCGTACAGATGAAGCTGATAACAGATCTGTCACTAAATGATAAAAATAGATGATACGAATAAATGTGTGAAGCTGCTTTATACATGCTAAAAATATATGCAATATATTCAGCACATTGGGCTTATTTTTGATCATATCCGGGTTCCGGTTTTTTTCTCACACTCGCACTAGTATCATCTCTTCATAAAAGTCGGAAAGGTTATATCACTTTTCGATCTAGATTATTATCATTCTCATTTCCTCTGGCGAATTCTTACTCCAAAAAATGACGAATTCGCAAAACTCCGAGTCCATTGAAGCAAAAGTGGAAACTCTTCGCGACGCGTATCATTCGGATAGCAATGAAGAACAAGACGCGACTTTTTTACCCCCCACCGAGTCCTTCGATTCTATCGACCAATTGGAAGATTTAGGGGTTGATAAAGATTCGCATTCAATTGATAAACCCTCGATTGCGGCAACTGTTTGTGCCAAATTTGAACTTACTTTTTCTCTCTAGTCATCTTTGTATGCGTTCTGATTCAAATACTGACATGCGTGACGATATGATACCATCTTATTCGTGGGTTACAGATAGTTGATCAGTCGATTATTACTGCGTCCGAAAAAAAAAACAATGCCGAATTTTTTTGTGGCAGGGGCTCGAAAACACCTGATCGATACATGAAAATTAGAAATTTCATTCTGAACGCATGGATTTCTAATCAACCTAAATATTTATCCAAGACAAGCGTTAGATCAGGGCTCAAGGTACAATTGAGATTCGCGTCCAGATTCGTGGGATCAAGCACATGGAATTAATAATGTCTTCCTTTTTCGATGTAGGATTGCGGGGATGTAAATGCGATAGGACGAGTTCACGCATATTTGGAATCGATAGGTGCCATCAACGTTGGTGATGGCTTGCTAAAGAAAAGGCAGCGTGTTGTAAAAAGGAAAGTGTCCGATAATGCTGGGCAGAGTGCAAGTTCGAACGGAAAAAAGAAAACAAAGAAGGTGGAAGATGAGAATTGGACTCTCAACGGGTTAGCATCTTTATCAAATCATTTAATTGATGATGTTTTTGATGCCCAGGCTAAGATTATTCTGTGTCCGATGAAGACGCGGGAAAAAGGTTCACAATGATGACGTAGAATGGTATGAAACCATGATTCGAAGCCGTCTCTTTATTTATCTGAATGTAATAATAATCATATCCTTGATGAATTTTTGGATTATTGTTCAAGGGGAAATTCCAATGATCAAGAACTCCCCGGTAACGATGATGCGTCAGGTATGATTCTGTTTGTATGCGTCTTTTCTCCTGTTCATTAAGAAATTCCATGTGCCACTTTTCATTTAACATCCGTCCTTTTTATAGCCGATGGTCCAATACGCCGTAGCAAAAGAACTCGTGTCAATAAAAAAGGAACGATTAACTACAATGAAATATCCTTTGGACTGTTTCTTGGAATGTGTCATTAAAAAATTTTTGCGTATAGGTGTTTCTTTAATTAATAGTAACACGATGTTTTAGCATATGATATGGTGGGTTCATACGACCCATTCCGATTGGTGCCTCCGCTTAATTATACGTCGAGAAACCCCGCACCTTTTCGAGTGTCGGTTTCAGAGAACGTCATGGTACGTCAAAAAGTTTTTATTGACGAATTATGAGATCGTGATTGAAATCTAATTTAAACACCTAGTTCGTTATGGACTTTCACGCTCATCTGGCTCATACGGAAATTATTGGTTTGCTCGGTGGTCACTTTTACCCTGACCGTGAAAGCATGGAAGTAATTTACGTGTATCCTTGCAAAAGTGCAAGCACGGGTTTTCAGGTTAATTTCCCTGAGCTTTGGTTAAATTGTTGACTTGACCCATGAAGTTCGCTCTTCCAACACCTTATTTTTTTGGGGGATCTTCATTTAGTGTGAGATGGATCCGGCTTCCGAGGTTGCCGCCAGAGAAGTTTTTGCCGAGAAAGGTCTCGAATTTGTTGGATGGTATCATTCTCATCCTACCTTTGATCCTCAACCTTCCGTTAGAGACATCGAAAATCAAACTCAGTATCAGGTATTTTAATCTTATTTATGAACGTATAAGATTGGTGAAACCGTGCATCAATATCTTCTAATTTGGCAAACATTTATGTGTATATCTTTTCAATCTTTTCACAAGGAAATGTGGCGACGTGAGGACGGCTTGGAACCATTTATCGGCGTCATCGTTACACCATACGATGTAGAACATGAGTCTAACATATCCAGATTTCAATTTTGGATGAGCGGAACAAACTATGACTTATCAGGACAATTTAGTAGGTGACGACGTCTTTGTTCAACATTATAAAGAGGAAAACCATCTGCACATTTTAAAGCAATTTTCCTTTATATATATATATATATATACGTATATACGTATATCCGTTAGGAGCACCTTACTCATGCCAACATTCGGTAGCACCAAGTGAAACCTTACCGGAAGAAATGTTCTCGCAGCTGACCGCATTAGTAGAAGAGTATCATAATTATGATCAGTAAGTTGACCAATTGATTCTAACAACAATTTATATTAAGTTCGACAATGGTTGTGATAAGTTCTATTGTAAGCGGTGCAGTAATTTGACTAATGAACAATAATTGTATCAATTATCACTACAATTAAGGCGCGTAAACATGACAGAATCTTATAGGGCGGATGATAATATTACGAAGCTTGACAAAATGATGGAATCATTATCTTCACATATATCTATTTCTTCGCCCGCAGCTGAGGCGTTTCTCTTACGAATTAAGGAACTCATCAGCGCGAACTTCCTGCCAAATGTGAAAAATAATGATGCGAGAAGCCGTGAAAACATGAATTCCACAGTTGCGGGAGAAAGCGAATAACATTTTGACAGGACTATTGTTTGGTGGGGTATTAATTTTAAAATTTTAATGCTATGTTACTTTATTTCTTGTTTGGTCTCTTTGTTTTGATTTTGTTTTGATATGTTTTTAACATTTTTCTGATCATTGGGGTTTGCGTTATTCCTAAGCGTTTGAATGCATCGGATCCTTTCATTGTTTCAAAAAAAAAAAAAAAACAAAAAAAAAAAAAACTAGATTTTTAATTCTTTCTGTGTTGTAATTTTAATCTCACATGACACAAGTACGTAGTAGTTTTTTTTCAGCCCAGCTGTGAGCAAATGCCCCAAACAGTCAACATGCGTGAACTCATATTCAATCGAAAGAATGGGCTATCTAGCCAAGTTTGACATAATCCATCCGCATCCTCTTGGTGATTGAAGTTGACATTTTGGATTTTTTATTGTAAACCCTCATAAAAAGCGGGTAACCGATGTGATGGGACAAACAAGTTATGATTTCAAGTATTGAAGATCTCGTGTCCGAACATTATAAGCACCTGTTTTGCATGCTTGCACGACTTTTGATTACGAACCTGTTAATCGCAGCGATGCACCAAGCACTATTGTGTACTTGATACTACGTACCAAGTGAAGAAAAAGAATTTATGGTTTTATCGCCATCACAATTATAATTATAATATTTTTTTTTTTTCTTTTTTTTTTTTTGCAGCACACTGCAGTACAATACAGTACAGTATAAAAACTATTGTAGAACCTTGTCACTTGTGTTCCACTTTTTTCTTTACCTTCGGTCTCCTTTTTTCCCCTTTTCTCATATAAGCCTTTTGAACCCTTTCCCATGAACCGGGGCTGAAACAGTATTATTGGTTTTTTATTCGTTGTTTTTTTTTTTTATTACGGTAACGTCTCGTATTTCCTTCCATTTGCGGTGCATTACATTTATTCTTTTCTCCTGAATGTTCAATTAAAGTACTGTACACATCTTTCTTCTGACGATAGCTTACGACTTACAGTTTTAAGAAAATAGTTTTCCGTCTCCACACACACACACACACACGTACGATATAATGATGTCAGCACCCGAAACACTAGATGATTTTTTCGAAATACACGACCAGGAAGATGAGCAAATGGACGCCGCGAGCTTACTTCCGCTGATGCTTCAAGCACAGGATTTAGTCGCTAAGTTGGAAAGTAGAGTAGTGGAGTTGGAAAACGATCTTGAGGTTTGTTGCGTTTTTGAAGTTTCAGAGAACTGAGGCGGTTCTGATTTTGATCACTCGCTTGGTTTACAATTATTTCGTTAGACCATAAACGAGGCGCACGAGCAGGAACGAGATCAATTACTCCAAGAAATTGGCGAGAAAGACGAATACATTCACAATTTAAAGACTAAAGCTAGTCGACTTGAATTTGGGGCTCGAGAGGCAATCATCGTGCTCGCAAGAACCGTGGAAATACTCAAAGCACAAAATATTGATGACGATGAAGACAGTAGTAAAGAGGATGATGACAATGCTACGGCAGTGGAATCAACAGATTTCGAAGGACAATTCCTTGATAGTATCAAATTATGCTTAAATTATCTAAAGAATGCACAGAGCAATCAAGTTAATCAAAAGGTATCTAAAACTTATAAGAAGCATTCACCCTCACCCTCACCACTTCCGCTACCGCCACCTACCATGCAATCAACTCCCGTACGGCGGGATTCAAAGCTTCAATCATCCAACGACGATGATTCTGATCATAAAGTTGACATAACGACCCCTCCACAAGATAACGAGGTCGGCGATTTACAAGAACAAGAAGTTGAAGATCAAAGCGAAGCAAGCAATAATATAAAAACCAAGAGTAATCGGTCGCGTAGGGAATCTTTCAATGGTAGTCAAATTTCGCTGGACGACATACCGGATCTCGATGAATATGGATTAGATGGTTCTGAGGACATTGCCGATTTTGCCATGTCTGACGAGGAAGACAATGGATTTAGATACCATAGTCCTCTGTCGAGGCGACAGTCGATTGACAGTGAACAAGAAGAGGAGGAAAGACGTAGGGAAAATGCATTTTCTAATGAGTTTCATAATTCTACTGACGTGGGCAATGAACATGATCGAAAAGAAGAAGTTGAACAGGATGATGAGTCGGATGAGGAAGATGAGCGTCATCATAGAATTCACGACCTCCTTCCTCCGCCTGGTCCCGTTCCCGACATTTCTCAGACCAATCTCTGTCCTAATTGTAACACGTTGCTCGCTCAAGTGGATCAACATATAGAAGAGCGCGCTTACCTTAAACGGGATCTTTCTGCTCTCGCTGTCTCTCTCACGGAAGAGCAAACCCTTCGTGCCCAGGTTCAAGCCAGTAAAGATTACTTGGAAATGGAAATTGATGAATGGATAAACGCCATGTTCGAAAAAGTTAATCAAATGGTATTCGACGAAGCAAATTCACGTGAAGAATTGGAATTATTGAATCGAGAGACTAAGGGTAAAATGGAGAATGCGTTGAAATCTTCCGGGAGTAGACAAGATCGGCTGAGAGAATTGAAGTTATTGTTGGTTCATTTGGACTCCACCAAGCAAAGGCAAGCCGCACCTACGCTAAACGGTTCCCTTCTAAACAGGAACTCTGTTGTCCGACGAAGTTTGATGTCGAACTCGCCAGTTCACAGTGCCAGATCAAGTAGGATTTTTGGAAACTTTGGTCATATGTCTCCAAGTATATTTTCGAGCAATTCTATAGATGAGGTTGTCTTTGCCAAGAGTAAGCGTGTGTACATCGATGGCGTTGTTTTCGAAGAATTCCAAGAATACATAAAATCATTTGTCACTTCACCGGCCCCTAGTAATTCGACCCCCACACATCCATTCATGAAAAGGTGCATGGCTGTAGACATTCAACCTTGCCTGTTCGAAGGGAGCAGCAGTTGGAAATCTCCATTTTATAAGAGAAGATTGCTGGATGCCATCATGAAGAATCAGTGCGAGATTCAAACGGTGTTGCCAAGCACTGCAAATTCCATTCAGAGTACCCCGAACACCAGCCAGATTAGCAACTCAACTTCAAACACACGGCAAAGTGTTTATTATGAACAACCGCAAGCACCGACGGTCAAATGTGGTCTCTGCGGCCATCTAAGAAGTTGTGAATACCGAATGCGCCTGTCGGGAACTGATGTTGCAGTACCACCAACGGCAACGATGACCCCATCATCACGTTTTTCAGTTACGGGAAGCCCGGCATGGATTCCGTTGGATCGATTCTGCAGGGATCGTGTGGTGGCTGTATGCGATTTCTATGCTTATTTGTCACACTTACGTCAAGGCTTGCTCGTCAATTCGCCGGTATGGGGGATATACAAACAGTGTCTCAAGCATCGTAGGAGGATGAGTCTAGCGCGTGTCGGTGGAGTTAGTATGCTCGATGATGATGAAAACATCGGCTGCGAATACCTGAATAACCCGGAAGTGGAGGGAATGGTTGTGATTGTTCATTAAAATGATTTTCATAGCATTTCACGATCTTTGGACAATAGACGACAGGGGAATAATATTTTCATGTTTTTTCATACACATAGATTTTTCCTGTCACTTAATATTGTGATTTTAGTTTCATTGATTGTGGGTCATATCGGCGGTGCGATCGGTTATTTACTTTCTGTATCATCATTAATCGAAAGAAAAGAAATGTAAAATTTTAAGACTAAGAAAAAAAATTGATGTCGTAACTGAGACACGGAGACATTATTGTACTTATTAAAATTATCATATAAAAAAAGTCATTGATAATTCCTTTTCATGAAAGGAATAAAAATAGAAGGTTTGAATTTATATATCCCCATGTAGTCATAGTTATATATTTATTGTTTATTGTATCTTGAGCATAAAAGTCGTTTTCTATTTGAACCTGTTCACCTTTCCGTTTGTATATTACAAATCGTTTAAGATGTTTACTTTATCAAAACTTTCAATTCTTTCCTAGTGAAATATTGCACTGAGATTATTCCGAAAATACTTCTTAAAGGTTGTTATTGAATGAAAACAAATAAAAAATTCAAAATTTCGATAAAATCTTTATTTTGGGATACTTGCTTTTGAAAAAATTATTATTCATAAGTAAAAATGGATTAATTATTTATATTAGAAACAAATTAATTTACTAAAATTTTAATTTAAAAATAAAAAAATTTTGTAAGAAAAATTATGTATAAATAATAAAAATAATTTGGGATTATTTTAATACATAAAACCATTAAATAAGAATAAGAATGTATATTATAGATTTGTCAATTAAAAAAATCTTTAAAATTTAAAAATAATGAATTTCAAAAAATTTCATAAAAGCTAGATACAAATTTAAAAATTAATTTTGCAAATTAAAATTATCAAATAGTTTTTGATAAAAATCTATAGATAGTATTTCCAGATTTTCAAATATATGTTCTTGGTTTAATATCCATATAAAATATAACATAAATTTATTTTTTATATTAGATTTATTGGTTTTTTAATATATATTGTATCCAAACATCTGGATTCAAACCATATTCAGTTAAACTGTATGAAAATAGAATTTATGATTTATAGGTTGAAAACAGATCAAAAGATTGTATTAAAAAAAACTCTTGGTTTAATATATAGTAGTATTGATTTTAAAAAAATTTTCAATAATTTATTGTGTATATAAAATATATATATTATTTAACATTTATACTTCTATATTTGACAATTTAAATTAATTAATATTTATTAAAATATTTATTAAAAAATATTGGAGTATATTTAATTTAACTAATTAATTTTTAGATTTGATAATTTATATCAATCAATAAAAATTTTCAAAGTATTTATTAGAAAATATATATTTACATATATTAAATATTTTTTAATCCTATAATTATAAAATTTAAAAATAAAATATTATAGAATTTAAAGATAAAATATAATAAAATAGTTAATTAATGATTAATAAATTGTTATAAAAAAAATAATAATAATAAATAAATAATAATAATAATATAATAAATAAAGATTCTAATAATTTGATTCAATTTAATTTAATTTTCAAATTTATATTATATTAATATATAGATTATACTGTACTTTATCATAATTTTTAATGGTGTTTTTTTAAATCTTATAAAAGTTTATATAAGTCTATACAAGTCTAATTTCAAAACCATAATAATAAATATATTAAATATAAAATATATATATAATATAATATATTACAATCAAACCTGGATATAATAAATCTATTTATAACAAAGCTATAATAAAATGCTAATTATAATAAATTTTTGAATTTTGAATTTATTTAAAATTTATTATAAAAAGATAATTTTATTTTATTTTATTTTTTTTAATTCTGTAATCAAGTTGGTGTCGTTTATTTATTAAATTATAAAGAACCATTACATGTATGAAAATACATGCAAAATACAAATTTCCCTAACCTAACTTACCCATATTTAGCCAAAGCCTCTAGATACGATTTATGGGGTAATGTATTGTTTCCCTAAAGAATAGAATTAAGATCCCAAACTTCTGATAGGATTAGCATCTACAGATCACCTCCACAGTCATAACTATACATGTGGCATAAATTATTTTGCTGTTGACTCAATTCCTAAAATCCTCAAAAATAATTGCGTCATGACTCAATT